ATGTGTGCACAATCAATATATAAAGGAGTGTATTTACGAATATGGTCGTCGACATCATCGTCTTCGTGTTTTGGAGTCAATAAAACTTTCGCGTCGTGGGAATAGCGGTGGTTCCTCGTTTTTACAAGTATAAGTAATAGGTGAATACGACATAATAATCAGCGACGACCAGATATAACAAGTGGTGTTCAATTTCAAAGATACATGTTATTATTCAACTCAATTATATAAACATTAAATCAATCGACCAGATATTTTAATGAACACAATTCCTTACTAAATAATTTAAGATACTTTTGGTTTCTTCCTTATTAACATGATAATACAGTTGGCAGAGAAATTAAAATGTTTTAGTAATTCAAAATAACGTTCGTTAGTGACTCGATCATACGTTTATCATAAAGTTTGATTCGATTAATGCTTCAAAGGTGATTGAATTCATTTCTGTATGAATAATTTATAAGCATCTAGAACTTTAGAAGTGGATTAGGGACAATTGGTAAAATGTTGAGTGAATTACTTCTTGAATTACACATATCGACAAATTGGTTTGTGTGAACTTGTAGTGTGTTTTTATTAGTAAGCTATTAGTCTTTATTATTCAACCTTATTTCTCTAAGCAACTTTACGCTAACAAAGGCATGATTGTGAAAATTGTACTTCTACCAATGACAAGCAATTGTTGTATTATATCATTTGTCTTACTTGAACAATAGTAACATAATCTATATAATTTCGTGTGAAATTATCACATCGGGTTATGTCATTTTAAAATGTGAGATAATCGGAGTAAAAGTGTAGCATAATAGTGGAAAAAATATTAGAATAGTTTCTGTCTAAATGATTTGTGCTACAAACTCATTCATTTTTATATTCATTATTACCGAAATCATTTTTTACCAAGTCAATCGTTGATGGTATTTTGACATTTGCATATAACACATTTGATATTATATGGAAAAAAAACTATATTTCAGGTTAAAAAATTAGGACAGAAAGCTACTAGTAAGACAATCAAATGTTCTGTGTTATAAAATTATTCAATTTGTAGTGGTTATTCTCCATCATAAACCAGTTTTATACAAATTAGTGAACAAAAACCAATAGGTTTAAAACACAATATAATGGATATTTCTGAAACAGTCATTTTTATATTAACATACTAGTAACGTTTAAGATCACATATAAAGTATAATATTGATGGTTCTTTATTGATCTTCTAGCTCAGTACCAATATAAATCATAATCAGACTGTTAGCCACGACAAAGAGATGATCAACGTGAAGTGAATTTCGTAATCGATGATTTTGCTTACAAATAATTTGGGAGATACTTTTTATTTTTTTTTTAGTGTCTTCTACGAAGAATGGTAGAACATAACCCTTTTTATGTAGTCATTACAGTAGATCAATACAGAATTAGGTGAATAAAACTATTGATTGACATTTTAATATATTTGACTGAAGTTCTATTCAGATTTATTTAAAATATCTGATTGTTTAACCTATTAGCTTATTTCATGATACACTGAACGTCACATGTTGAATTGGTTCAGTTCAGTGTATGTTGAGGCCTGTTAATGCAATGGCTGCTGCTGCTACACTGACTGTCCTCACCAGAAATTTTTGGCGTGTATGGGATAGAAGGATCAGGTCACCCGCAAAGTTGCATCCAAGCAGTCTATTGTTTTCCGTGCTTCCCTGAGATAAAGAGGTCTTCATAATTCAGTAAACCACCTGAAGAAATAGAAAGGACAGAGTAAGCGCCTTGTCTGACTCCAGGCCTCCCATGGAATGTGTCTGTCAGCTGTCCTCCATGCACCACTTTGCATTGTATGAATTCTGCATGATATTGACGATCATCTCAGGTACAACGTAGTGTCGAAGAAGTTTCCATGAAGTCCTCCTGTCCACACTGCCGAACGCTTTCTCATAGTCAAGGAAGTTGATGTGTAGTGACGAGTTTCATTCAATTGATTGTTCAACGACGAACCGTCCTGTCGTAATTTGGTCTGTGCACGACCGGTCCTTATGGAATGAGGTTTGTTGATCTCGAAGTTGGGCGTCTACTGCGTTTTTCATCCGGTTCATCAACACTCTATTGAAAACTTTTCCTGGTACTGACAGCAGTGTGATGCCTCTGTAGTTGTCACATTTGCACAGATCTTCTTTCTCTGGTATCTTGATGAGTTTTCATTCATTCCAGTCTGTCAGTACTTGCTCGTCCTCCCAAATTTTTCGGAAGGCAATATGGAGCATCTTTGTAATTACGCGTATGTCTGCCTTCCATGCTTCAACTGGTATGTTGTCCGGTCCTACTGCTTTCCCACTCTTGCTTTGTCTGGTGGCCATGTTGATTTATTCAATTGTTGATGGAGTGAAGTCTCTAGGACGACCTGAGTATGCTGCTCCGATATCTGGTTAGTTCATGGAGCCTCGTCTACTCAAGAGTCCTTCGAAGTGTCTTGCCCATCAGTTCCGCTGGTTGTGAATCCCAGAATTTTGCTAGCCTTCATCGTTCTTGTCTGGTCGCTCTACTTTTACTGTATGATGCAGCTATCTCTTCGTTATTGTCAAAGTTTTCCCGTATTTCTTTTTATTGGGGCTTTTCCGTCATTATTACTAGATCTTCCACGTACTTCCTATCGACTGAAACTCTCCTCTTCACTCTCTTGTCTGCTTCTGTGTATTCGGTGTGTGCCTTGGCTTTCTCTGTACTTGTTTGACTGTTGGTAATTTCTGTCTTCTTGTTCTTCCCTTACGGATTCTGACCCGGGGTTTCTATAGAAATCTATTCTTTATGATGGTGCTTCTTGCGACCAGAACCTCCTGACACGTTGGAGTGAGTGCTTTTTTGATTCCCTTTCCAATTGTTCTTCATGACACTTTCTTCTTCCAGTATATTTTGTCACCTGTTCTTGAGAGCTATCTTGAATTCGTTGAGTTTGTCAGTATCTCGAAGGAACGCTGTTTCTTCAGTTGTCCAAAGCTTATTTAGCTTGAGTTTGACCTTAGCAACCACCCGTTGGTGGTGATCTGCAGCTATGTGAGCTCCTCTCTTGGTATGTAGGTGTTCCACGGGTCTTTTGAACGTTTTTGGTGATAGTATGGTAGTGAAATTAAAATATGATTGGTCACTGAGCATTGACAAACAGGCATTTAGCCTATGAACTATTAAATATGTAATTTCCTTTCCTCTTATTGATTTCTACTCCGGACTCACTGAGAGTGATAGCTTGTAACTGGTTGAATTAAGTATTATCTAGTTTATTCTCCGGTTCTCTATTTTGAGTCTTGAGTCCTGGATCTGTTATAATGTGTCTAGTCTTATTATCGTATTAACCTCTTATCTTAGTATGCCTGAGAGCCAGGAAAATGTTTCAAATCATCCGTTATATCACCAACCTTGACGTTTAGGTCTCTCAACAGGATGATTAAGTCCTTAACTAGATATTTCTTTAAGATCGACTGCAACCTCTCATACAACTGATCTTTACCGCCTCCACTCTTATGCTTGGTGAATGCATCGGACTGTATGCTTTAATGATCCTGGATCCATGAAAGTGTTTTTCGTGCTTCTTCGGACAACACCGATGCAACTATTTGTATAGTGAAGTATTTTCTTCTTCATGACCAGAGTACAACAACACCTCTCGCGAAGCTATTCTTTTCTGTCCAGCTTGCGTACAATGTATTTCACTATTTCTGAACACTGCTAGGTTGTATCTTTCCATCTCCACAGCTGTTTAACCGGTCCTTTCAGTCTTCCACATTATCCGAATATTCTATCTATCTGTGCCAATTGTTGTTCAGGTTGTTAGAATGGAAAGAGGCTGTGTGACTTTCGAAAACTCCCAGCTTTCACAACGAGGCGTCATAACTCTTCTAAAAGAAAATTTTTTAACTCTCAGAGGAGTGTTCAAGCGGTTTAGATCATTTTTCCTGGTTGGCGTTTTTAAGCATAGTTGTTTTATGCTGGATGAGGTTGCTAACAACGCGCCTAACCTTCCTCCTTTACCCGGGTTCTGGACCCCTAGTAACCCAAGAAAGCCCCTCGATGGGGGTATTTTGAATTAAGTTGATATTAAGGATATGTGAAGTAGGAGAACCGAATAACTAATATATATATATACTGGTTACCTCACATTTTAAGTCATGAATTAATTGTAATATGGTGGAAAGAAAAGTCAATTTTCCATTGATTTACCCTTCGCTGAAATTCGTGTTTTAATTTTAATGTTTAATTGGGAACTATCTGTCAAAATGTAGTATTTGTTTCTTTTTCTCGTATGATATTTTATTCTGTAAAATATGCGATGTTCTTGTATTCAATGGACATGAACTATGCTCAGCAAGTGATTTGTTATAACTAAGTATTTTTCATATATGTGATTTCATCCTAATTATTAATAAAAATGGGTGTACAATCAATACATAAATTAGTGTATTTTCTACTAGAGTTGTCGTCGTCGTGTTTTGGGGTTAATAAATCATCACTTATACCAGTTTTTGTGTTCTTACTTTCGCGTCGTGGGAATTGCAGAGGTCCCTCGTTCCGAGTGTAAATGATAAGAGTTTCCGACATAACAATCAGCGACGACCAGATACAAAAAGTAGCATTAAAAGAGCTAAGACAATAAACATTCAAACGACAAGATATAACCAATTGAAGCTAGACCACCATGGAAAACCTGGAAGCACTGGACAGCCGTTTCGTCCTAAGATCTCAACCACTGAAATTATTGTAATATCCACAAATACCGTTCTGTTATTACAATGTGTCGATGCACAGAGAAAATAATTTTCTACTATAACTCATTTCTATGTCTCAATGAAATAACCTCTTCAGTCGTTCAAGTTAGACAGGTAATTAACTAATTCTATTAATGAATCATTTTCTATAACTCAATAAAACAAATGAACTGCACTTATGAATATAGTCAATTCAATCACTTAATATATATTTGTAGAGAATAATTAGAGAATTGAAAAATGAGATTTCACTGTCTTTCAATTAATATATTTTTACATCTATTTTAACAAAATCAAGACAAATAAATTGTATATAATAGAAATGAATATTCAATACTACATTTGTATTATTTGTAATAAAAGAAAAGAACTGCTAGTACAGTATTAATCAGTATACACTCTATCTATAAAGAAAATTTCAAATAATTTAAAGAATTCCAACTGATTCATGTTGTTTCCAATTTTGTTTCAATGGTGTTTGACATAAACTAGAGAATTCCTCTTTATTGGTTGGTTTATTCACTTCTATATTATTAGATTTTAATGTATCCTCAGATGTAGCACATGAAAGATTAGCTTGTACACCTTAAATATTAAAAAAAAAAGAAGTTTAATCCGATTTTAAAGATAAAGTAACTGGCAATATCATTACTTAATAGTTGTTCAAGAATCATTAATAAAGATGGTGTAGAATATTTGTAGCTCAGGTGGATGATTTTGATGGAGTTTTGTTTTCTAAGCTGGATGGTTTGGTCGTGGAGCTTCAAACAAATATAGGAACAAAAATCAAACCAATGGGAGACACAACCAAAACAAAGAAGTAAACAATGACAAATTAAAGGTCAATAAGAACCAATCAACGTCGAGGTGTACAGAACAAGCTGTGAAACACATATGGAGAAATTAGAACACTTCACTTCTATCTGAAGTTTGTGCTGATGATGTCGTTCAGAAGAACGATGAAAGCTCCACGACCAAACCATCCAGCTTAGAGAACAAAACTCCATCACAATCATAAATAAACTTTAATTGGTATTAACACTTGAATATTCCTCCTTAAAACATTAGTTTAAATGTTTTAATAAAGATGTTTACGTAGGTTTTATTTAGGAGATTTTATACTTGTTTGATAGTAAACATAATATAGTATGATTTGATGAAACAGAAATTTAAGTCTATGACTATTCTGTCATGATAATACATGTTATCTATAAAAACTAAACACGTTCTGTCATGTTATGTATTCTAATTAGTTTGAATGAAGTAAATACCTTCCGCTCTTATGCATGATTGAAATAATGAAAATGAACAGATTGTGAGGTTTTTTTAATGTCTGAAAGAAAAGTGTCTTATTGATTTATGAATCATTTTTTAACATAGAATCAACCAGTTTTCAGGTAACACAATGATTAGAAGTTCATATTATGTTCCTTAATCCCCTTTCAAATCTTTATAGAGTAGTCATCATTAAACTATTTCGTTAATAACTATATTTTATCAATTTTTTTAGGGTTAGTGTTTTATGTTCGATCATTTCACATTCCGAACAATCTGATTACACATTATATACTTGTTAAGAACATTTATATATAAAAATAAAAGGTCAAGGGGTAAGAGGAGACAAGGATAATAATAAGAGTAATAACAATAATGTGAACACAATTTGAAACCTAATCACTCTGGATAATAAGCCAATATTACCACGGTAGGTTTAAGGTGAGAACAAACCACAAAAGCCGAGTTTAGATCAATCTTAGGGCCTGTTTCGATTATACATTTAGCAAAAGACGATGATGGATGTTTATCCTCTACTCTTATTGGGTCACTTGATACTAATTATCCCTGCAACCATTTTGGTACATGTTCAAACACCCTAATTTGTTTTGATCCTATTTAGAAGTTAGACATATAGACCACCGGATGTCGGCTAAGTGACTTAAAGTTTAAGCATTTCTCGCGACACCTGAAAGTTTTTGGCGCGATTTTCCGTGGGATCATAAATTGATACGATTTTGTACTAAACTTTGGAAATTTAATCATTTTTATGTAAAGTTCTAAATCTTAATTTAAAAAATGTATCAATTTCATTCTTTTTAAAAAGTTGGTTTGTTGACAATCGATATTTATCAGAACTGTATCTCGTCGATTATTTTGTAATTACACCGAACACAAACTGTCAGAATACTTTTATGGGATGTTGAGACAACAAAGAACGAAATGCCAAAATATTCATGTATTCTATTAGTTGAAATATTTCAGTTAAGATACTGATTTATTGAAATAGATTGTTACTATTGTTAATTAACCAAATGAGGTTTATATGAAGTTGTTTTTGTATTCAAATCCACAATAGGCAAATCGACAATACACAGTCCACAACACGATTTTTAATAATACATTTAACAATAATCATTTACTTATATGCTTACCTCTGCTGTGCGTTTCGCTCATATTATCCATTTCACCAATTACTAAACGATCTGTTACGGTACAACAATTTTGTATATTCTCGTCTTCCACTGTTTCATTGAGGCTCTAAGAGGAGGACATTTGTGTCCAAGTTATTACAAACATTACAAACATTGCAATTATAATTATTGATAAGTTTAGTTTGTTTATGGGACTTAATTAGTGAAGGGAATATCTTTTTAAGTTTCAGCTAGTCATTTTTCATGACATTTGGAAGTCTTTGACACTGCTTGTTTATAAAACATTGTTTTGCTAGTCGTTGAAAATCAAGCAGAATGTGTGAAAGTGGTCTGGTTGTGTGTAGAAAATTATCTTCAAATGATTAGTTATTCACTCTAGTTCGAGCAATTCAAAATTGATGTGGCTAGTCAATGAATGTCCCCTCATTATTGATACGAATAAGCAAAGTCGTGAATTCTGCCAAAGCATTCAACTACGCGGTGGAGGTACATGTGAAATTCAAGTTTAAAACAAAGATTTATCTAAAGTATCTAAAGGCAATATCGAGGCATACGCACAGTATGCACATATGCTAATAAGTGACTGATCAATTTCAGTCCTAAAACATCAATGGGAAGATTCAAGGAAAACAATACCAAGTGAATTTTTCTAAAGTACAGTTTTATTATTATCACAAAAGATATGTATCTATGCCTAGATATATAAGCTAGTTACAAATCTCAACTCACGAGATAACTTTTGTGGTTAAAAGTTCCTTATCATGTAAAAGAAAACTCTTCCTCCAACAATTACACATTGGTTGATCACAACACTATAGCTTAAGTGACTACCGGTAGTTGTGTCTAAGGTCAATACTGAGAATGAACAGTCGAACTGAGACTAATTGGAAAAAAAAGTTATGGAAGTTATTGCACTCAAACATAAATTCAAGGAATACACAATAACTGGAAGTAGTTGTTAAAAGTGTCGAGGGTATACAATTACTGTAGTAAATTGAATGTTACTGGCTTGTGTTAATACTATGACAAGAAATATACATCACACTGTATTCTCAAAAATCATTGATGATAAACTGGTTACTTTACATAATTAAGTAGTATACAGCGATAAATAAATAACATTGAATAAGAATAAACTTATGACAATGAAAACAAATTTAACTAATGTAGTAGTCGCTTAATAATGACCAATGTTAAAATGTATCTCTTTAGCTTGTCGGCATGACATCTTAGTTCCTACTCAGTGATTTACAAAATATACTCCTAAATTCATTAAATATTTAGATATAAAAAAAAGCATTCAACCATGAACAACGTTAAAACTAATTGAAATCATAAAGACTTGAGGTGGTGATTGCTTACCAACATCTCTTTTCTGAATACTCTACCGTGTTCAATAATCGGATTTAATAAGTAACTTTTATTTTACCTTAAATCCATGAATAAAATGTAGACCTTTGAAAATCTTATTATCTGAATGCAAATGTACTTTTTTTCTCATGAATAAATAATAATAAAGAAAAAAAGATTTATATTGTAAAGGTAAGGTGTAATAGAAAGGTGATATATTCCATAAGTTTAACTATTTTATAATAATCAGCTTGTTATTCTGTTAGTTGATCAACCAAATCTTTTGACGAGGAAATGTTTCGAATTTTATATTCCATCTACGTAAGACCACATTTAGAGTACTGTATCCAAGCAGCTAGCCCATGTCTGGTAAAGGATACTAACTCCCTTGAGCGTGGGAACGAAATTAGTGAAGGGTCTTTCTAGACTCCCTTACGATGAGCGTTTAAAACGCCTAAATCTTTTCCCCTTGTCGTATCGTAGGACGCGAGGTGACCTTATACTGGCATTTCGTATCTTTAATTATGATTTGGGTGTTAATATGTTTTATCTTTTTGCTCATTCCAGCACTAATAATCTCCGAGGTCATAGCAAGAAGGTTCATAAACCGCGATCATCGAGTAGTCAATGATTGGAACGCCTTACCCGAACAAGTGGTATCAGCCCCATCAGTGAATATTTTCAAGGAGAAACTGAACCTTCACTGTAAGGCAATGTATCAGGATTAACACAGGTTCACCAACCTACTATCCTTATTACTGAAGACATTTTAATAATACACTTTATATTTTCAAAATTATAACTTACTATATCATTATTTGATAATTTTTCCCTTCTAGACCAATGTATATCCGTATTAGTTCTATAAGAATTACCTCCAGATTGTTTAGTATCAAAATACATATTTTGATGAGATAATGCAGTAGACACTAGACTAATAATCAAATTTTTCTCTCTATAAAAGAATATAATCAAATATTTACAATAGATTTTGTGAGCTTATTTGTACTTTTCTATTATGTATGAAGCGATCAATCAATTTATTTAAGTGATTCAACTGGTGATATGTACTAATAATCGTACATCTCTCATTGACTCACAGTACAACGATATTCGATACTTGTATTAAAAATAGTAAGAATTCCATTATTTAATGGACTTTATCGACTAATCTCTTAACCTTCCATTCTGGAAACTTGAGGTTGCTAGTTACTACTACTACTACTACTACTACCACTACTACTACTACTACTACTACTACTACTACTACTACTACTACTACTACTACTACTACTACTACTACTACTACTACTACTACTACTACTACTACTACTACTACTACTGTAAATCAGTGAAAAGGGCACGGACAGTTCATTAAAAGTTAAGTGGCCTGATATATTTTTATACAACACATAGGAAGAACCATAATGACTCAGTGCAATCCCATTTACTATCTACCGACTATTTTATTGTAAACTGTGATAGTTCAAACAGAGTGACCATTCGTCCATTCTTATTGTTGGCCACTAAAACACCAATTTCATGATATGGTATAAGAACTAGTATTGCTCAACCCGGCTTATCTAAAAACGACGATGTATTTAGAAGAAGCGTTCATTGGGAAACGTTTTGGGAGTGAATGGTAGTGAGAATTTTCTGCCATATCAATAAGAAAAAGTGTTAATAAAAAGTCTGTTTCAAAATGTGAAGGAAAACGGTTCTGTATAAACTTTTCATGATGAACTTCAGTGCAATGAATAGTATTTCTTTGACGAACATGAAAGAATACAATAACAATATTATAACACAAATGAAGCTCTTCTTAAATAAGAATAATTTTAAATGAATTAACTTTACTGAAATATGATTCTGGCGATCAAAAATACGACATTTGTAGCCTATCAGACTCCTAAGTTGACTTCACTACACCATATGCGTACAAACTTAAGTTGATATATTTTTACTTATCAGTCACTTTCACATAAATAAATTTGACTTACAAGTATGATAATTTAAATCAAAATATTCTTTAAGTTTGAAGTTTGTATACGACATTTTGTGTTATATTCCTAATACTTACCTATCTGTTGCATTTTCTAACCAATGTTGTACTGCATTCATATCGTTTGTTTGAAGAATACTGCATATCATAGCAAATATTTGCATTTCATAATTACGAAATATTTCACTAACTGAAGTTGCATTTCTTAGACATTGACGTCGTTCGCAACTCTATGGATTCATGTTGCAAGAAGTGAATGCATATTATTAAAAATCAGCAATAATAATAATAATAATAATAATAATAATAATAAGCAAATGACTTTATTGATTTAGTAAAATAAAAAAATCAAATCAAACTTGGCATATTGTCTTTAGAGTAAATTATCTCAGTTGTTATGGGAGTATCCTTGAATTTATTAGTTCAGTTGTATAAAGGGTTTTCATTATTCTTTTATATTTAAGTTGTTCATTAGTTGACTGGTTTACATGTGAATTTGAAAAAAATGTACACTATATCTCAGTAAAGTGATCATTAAGACTTTGGAATTAAGCTAGAAACACAGTAGTCATAGTTCTAAAACAACTTATATTAACATTTATTGAGCACCTCTTAAAATACTTATCAATTAGAGATCATATGGATCCATTAAGAAAGAAAACAAACCTAATCTAGGATTATGGAATTTTAAATCGTTAAAAATTGCAAGCGGAGTCGAAAAGTCAACTTGTAGATAAATCATTCTTTTCTGAAAGTTCATTACAAATCAGACAACACTAGGGAGTAAACATAAGCTTCAAGAAATGTCACTATGTTCATGTAATATAGACCTAGATATAGTGAGTGAATTTATAAACTTTGTAGGATCTGGAACAGTTTTGATAAATAAATTTACAGCGAAAACGTAGACATTCAATGTGTTTATTATAATTCAGAGACGAAAATGAACGACTCAGTGTGTAATTCCTATTCCAGACAGCAAAATCCGACCTAAGGCCTCCTGGCGGTGCTGCTGGACAGTAGGAGCAACCTTGCTAGCTAACTTGGGTGGTTGGTGAAGATCAAACTGATCTATCTTTCCTATGCTGAAATTGGGTTACTCGGAGTTCGCTCTTCGTGACGGGCTGCCCAACGTGTATAGTCGTGTATGTATGTATATGTAAACGATACTTACCAAGGTCACAAAAGGAACGTGAGCCGATTTGTCCTCTCCCATGTCTCATAAAGTCAGAGGCCTAAACCGTCAAGTCGAAGATATAATAAAAAGATATGGTAGAGAGAGCGGTGAATATCAACCTTCCCTGAGAGATTGTTTATGCTCATCTGTATGCCATGAAGATTAGATAGACGGAAGTCTTTGTACCAGTGATATGCATGTAATGCGTATCATTCAGCTTTAACAAACACGATCGAAGGAATCGGTGAATATACCTATATGTATGTTATGGGATGCAGTACTGAAAACTTGTGCGTTTTTGGTGAGCATATTACGTATATTTTTTCACAGGGTAAGTATATATACATGTACACCGAGGGATGTATGGGTGAAAACTTGTGTATTACCGGTATGCATGTAGATTATACTTGCCCTTGGTGTGGCGTCCGCGCGCCAAGACCTGAGGTAACGATTTCCCCATAAAATCACATTCATGTGGTGGGTTTGTAAGGTTTGAGAAACGAAAACTTTCTAGAAAAGTCAATCGGCTTCACGAGATATGGCTTGACCAACCTTAACAGGGTTGAAACATCGTACCCATTTGCAATTAAATATATGAACCTCTGTAGAATAAAAATGTGATTTATGACATAGAAATACAAAGTAAACATCTGTTAAAGTGTTTAGAAACAATCAACCATCCATGCAGATTAAACAAAAGTTGTTCCTGAAATGTAAGATTCAACAAAATTCGATCGTTTTCTATTATCATATCCTATCAGAAAGGCATATGAGAATTTATACAAAGAATAACTAGTTGTAATGAAAAAAAGTTTTAGTTAAGTCAATAAATATTTTTGTTGTAGATACTTGACTTGAAAACTGTAATCTGAAGTAACTCTAAATATAAGAGACGATATGAGTAATGCAGAAAAAACGAAGTTGTACACCATTACTGAATAGCATCAACTTCACCAAAGCAAAGGATGATTAAAATGTTTGAAAAAGTCAAATATAACCAGTAGCTTGTTTAGAAATCATCTAAGAAGATATTGAGATATAATGAGAGGTTGATGCACAATATAATAATTTCAACAACACTTATTTATTTTACTTATTACCAGGTCAATAGACAAAAAGTGATAATTTTCGTATATTCACAGTTTAACAGACTTTAATCAACTTAATTTTAGATCAGGTAATTGTTACTACAAATATCTTTTCAAGGATTACACAGTTACTACACACTTGTGTCAAATTGAAAACGCTACTAACTACGCAACAACAATTTCAGAAGGGGTTTTGTGGATACTATAGTAATTTCAATAGTTGAGTTCATGAGGCAATTCAAGCTAGACAGTCATGGAAGCACTCGACTGCCATTTCGTCCTACTGTGGGACTCCTCAGCAGTGCACATCCACGATTTCACTTCGCGAGACCCGAACATAGGTCCTATCGGTCTGGCAAGCGAACGCTTAACCTCTAAACCGCTGAGCCGGCATCCAATCATATCAATGTCTAACTTCAACTAAACCACGAAATTGAGCGACACATCCACCGTTGTTTTCAGTAAGTTACTATCTCAGACCCGGTTGAACTCCACTGGTCATTGCTTCTCACTATCACTTCAGGAAGTACCTCTTGAAGACAGTCACTAGTGAGCATATGTTGATTAATATCAAAACAATAATTGTCTGTAAGTGCAATACGAAACAGTTCCAAACAAAATGGGATAGAAATTTCGTGAAAGATTAATGAATATCTAATTTTGTTTCCTGTACCGACTTTTTGACATACAGAAAACATTTTTTATATTGAAGGTTCTTTATATTAAAATCTCTTTTATTCTTTTTAAAATGTTAACATTAGTTAAAGAACACATAGATTAATATCAGAAGGGGTTTTCTGGATATTATAGTAAGTTTAATAGTTGAGATCATGGGTCGATTGAAGCTAGATTGTCATGAAAACCCTGGAAGCACTCGGAAGCCGTTTTGTTCTATTGTGGGATTCCTCAGCAATTCGCATTCACGATCTCGCCTCGAGAGATCCGAACCTAAGACCGCGGATGCGCACTGTCGAGGAGTCTCACAGTAAGACGAAACAGCCGTCCAGTGTTTTCAGGTTTTCCATGGTGGTCTAGCTTTAATTGACTCATGATCTCATTCATTAAAAAAAACAGATTTGTAAGATAAGTGCATTTATCTATTAACTGGACTATGAAAAATAGTTTAAATTATTATTTGTATAAACATGTCAAATTTTTAATAAAGATTACTTCGAATGATTCAACAAAGTATTTTCTTTCATACTTAATGTTATCAACCTATTGTAAAAACCATGATATAAGAAGATATAATTCAATGAACATGGATCATCGCTATTGGGATAATTTTTAGCATTATTGTACGACTTTGTATGGATTATTAAACTGTTGACAAAATAAAAATATCCTTCAAGACTATCATCCCTGGATTTCACTGCTTGTCACATTCTATGTAATGGCTATGTTGGGGCATTCCTCATAGGATCCACATACACCACAAAAGATTGATTAAAATTCAGTTGAAACATTACTAATGGGATTATCGAAACCATCACAAATTCAATACTAGCCTTTAGTCGTTATATAACATTCTTGAATATCAAAATTAATTGAAACCAAAGTAATTTATAAGCAAAGATGGATAGTGGCTAGCAGTGGAATCCAGGACGCGCGTTTCGTCCTCTTTGGGACTCGTCAGCTGGATGTACCTGCATCTCAGAGTTTACAATGCTCGTAAATTAAGGCAATATCGAGGCATACGCACAGTATGCACATATGCCAATAAGAGACTGATCAATTTCAGTCCAAAAACATCAATGGGAAGATTCAAATAAAACAATATCAAGTGAATCAAAGTAATTTACTTTTTATTAAAAATATCTCCAGCTAACCAATCTAACCTCAAAATGAAATACTGGTCGATCGATTTCAAGGTATTTAAGCTGATCAGATTGCCGAATTATTTTATAATCAATTCATCGTAGATTTTATAAGATCCATAAATTTTTAAGAGAATAAGTATTACTGTAACAAGATAGTGACTTTAGAATTGGAATATTTGACCACACAAAGTCAGAGTTTTGAGTTTTGTTGATAAATAGTGAGAGCTCGTCTACTGCTAAACAACACCGTAAATCAGAACGAACAATGAAAAGCAACGCAGGCAATGTAATCACCAACATTGAAGAACAACCAAACAGGTGGGTAGAACACTTCAAAGAACTCTTTTAAGTCAACCAGCCCCACTGAACCCACCCAACATCGAAGTAGCATCCACAGACCTCCCAATCGATGTTGTCCCACCAACAATTGAAGAAATCAGTATGGCCATCAGATAAATCAAGAGTGGCAAAGCAGCAGGACCAGACTACATTCCACTTAAAACAGACGTAGCGGTAACTGCAAGGATACTCCACATCCTGTTCAAAACGATTTGGAAAGAAGGACTTCTGATCAAAATACCGAAGAAAGGCGATCTCAGCAAGTGTGATAAGTACAGAGGCATCACTCTTCTCTCAATACCGGGAAAAGTCTTCAACAGGGTATTGTTAAACAGGATGAAGGACTGCGTAGACGCCCAACTTCGTGACCAACAGGCAGGATTCCGTAAAGATAGATAGTGTACAGACCAAATCGCAACTCTACGGATCATTGTGGAACAATCAATTGAATGGAATTCATCACTCTACATCAACTTCATTGACTACGAAAAGGCATTTGATAGCGTGGACAGAACAACACTATGAAAACTTCTTCGACACTACGGCGTGCATGGAGGACAGTTGACAAAATCGTTCGAAGTGAAGACCGGTGTTAGGCAAGGTTGCTTACTCTCACCCTTTCTCTTTGTCCTGGTGATCGACTGGATCATGAAGACGTCAACATCTGAAGGAAAACACGGGATACAATGGACATCTAGGATGTAGTTGGACGATCTAGACTTCGTAGATGATCTGGCTCTTCTATCGCACACGCAACAACAAATGCAGGAGAAAACAAACAGTGTGGCAGCAGCCTCAGCAGCAGTAGGTCTCAACATACACATAAGGAAAAGCAGGATTCTCCGATACAACACAGCATGCACCAATCCAATCACAA